GTTAATTAATAATAAATAAGCTTAAGTTATGAATAAATAACATATTTATTTAATAATTATTCAATTTTAAATTCTTACTCAAATTGAATTTATTAATTAACGTTCTAATTAATTAACTGTCGGATATAATTAAAAGTAATAATACATTAATTAATTAAATAATTAAAAAATATGTAATTTATGCATACTATTAACGGATATTTTCATTTTTCAATTAATTCATACATAGAATTAATGATTAAACGCAAACCTGAGAAAGAAATAAATCTAACGCATGGGGGGAATCGAACCTACGACCTACGGACTATGAGTCTAACGCTTTACCAACTACGCTACGCACGCTACTTCAAAACGGATGCTAACTTCTTGATGCTATTTAAACTTAAAAAATACCTAACAAAGAAAAGTGCTTAACATCATTTAGTTAAAGTTAAGATATTAAATTATATTTTCCAATCAAATGCAATTTATAAAATAAAATTAATTATATGCTTTATGATTATTATCATGAATCATCTCAGGTGAATTTTCAAAAAAAGTGTAAATATATTTTTATTAAAAACGCGTTTTTCGTTGTTTTGAATCATTGGAAACATTAATTTTTTGGTGATAAAAAAATATTTGACTTTTGGACTTAGAAAATTTTGCTAATCGATCATGAGGGCGATCCATGCGGGGCCCCTACGTTGCCCCTCATGGGCCCCCGCCGGGGGCCCCAAACTCTTGAGGGCAAGATCGTGGCTTTTTCTACACGGGAAGCAATCGGCTTTTTAATATTACGCGTTAAAAAAAATCGACTGTCTCACAACTGGCAACTCTCCCCTAAATATTTATTTGATATAATAACTTTATTTAATGGATTCAAGTTAACTAAATTATTTAATACTAATACACTATTTAATGAAGACAAATTAAGAAAAATATTTCATTCAATTAAATATTTATTTGTAACAAAACTAATGAGTTACTTGCAACTATGAATTTATTTATTACACTCAAATATTTCGTTTTTTTGATACAAATAAATATTATTTGATACAATAAATTTATTTTATTGATTCTAATCAACTAAATTATTTAATATAAATAATGCGTTATTTAATGTTATTACACTATTTTATTAATGGAAAATAAAATATTTTGACCAATTAAATATTTAAGTGTAATAAGAATAATGAGTTACTTGATACTATACATTTATTTATATATATTATTTAATATTCTAAGTCCAAAAGTCAAATATTTTTTCATCAACAAAAAATTAGTGCTTACAATGATTGAGAACAACGAAAAACGCGTTTTTAATAAAAATATATTTACACTTTTTTAAAAAATTCACCTGGGATGATTCATGATAATAATCATGAAGCTTATAATTAATTATATTTTATTAATTGCATTTATTTGGAAAATATAATTTAATATCTTAACTTTAACTAAATGATGTTAAGCACTTTTCTGAGTTAGGTATTTTGTAAGTTTAAATGGCATTAAGAAGTTAACATTCGATGTCACGTAGCGTGCGTAGCGTAGGTTGGTAAAGCGTTAGGCTCATAGTCCGTAGGTTCGATTCCCCCCATGCGTTAAATTTATTTATTTTTTATAGGTTTGCGTTTAATCATTAATTCTATGTATGAATTAGTTGAAAAATGAAAATATCCGATCAGAACATATTTATTAATTTTTTAATTAATTTATTTATTATTACTTTTACTCTATAACCGCCAGTTAATTAACTAGAACTTTAATTAATAAATTCAAATTGAGTAAAAATTTAATTTCGAAATGGAAGAATTAGTAAATAAATATGTTGATGTTAAATATGACTGAGGTAAATGAAGACTTGAGGAGCAGAACAATAAAGAAACAATAATTGTATATAAATTAAAATTTATTTCTAATGTTTAATAATTTATTTAACATATATAAGTCAATATTTTCATTTTTTTTATTTTTACCATTTGGTAAAAAAAAACTTTTTTTGTTTAAAATAAGATTATTTTTTTCATTTTTAAATTAATTTGTTTAAATTAAAATTGAAATTAATAATTCTTATTAATTTAATCAATTAAATTTAAATTATATAACATAAAAATAACAATAATTAAATAAATATATTTTTATTGATTTAATTTGTTATTATGAATATATGTTATCTTAAATAAAATTTTATTTATGCCTACTTGTTTTACTTGTAAATATTAGCTTAATAAAATAAAAACTTCAAATCAATTAAACTTATTATTTATAATATAATTTACATAATATAATAACAGCCAGAAGCATATATATATGCACATCAAAGATTGTGAAAGACGGAATTAGAATGCTAGCTAGTTACTGTAGCGAATTTAGTGACACCTGCTTGACGGACTTAGGGTAAGTGTATGAATTACTGCTGATGCGCCAATTACTGCGATTTTTATAAAATTAGTAAAACTTAGTAATTGAGAAAATAAAACTGTTTCAAAATGACTTTAAAACTTATTCCAAATGATATTTGATATTATATTCACTAATGATGCATATTTCGACTATTATCAAATTATTTATTCAAGTTACAATTGAACCTATCACAGTAATTAGAGCATGCGTATATTTTTCTCATGCTGCTATTACTGTGGTCTATCCAGTCAAACTAACCTCTAAATCAACACTTTTAGCGTTGCAGTAATTGGTGCACACCATTCGCAGTAATTCATGCAAACTTGCAGTAATACCAGCATATGCCATTTTTAAAAAAGTTAATATTTTTAATAATATATTTGTTATTTCTTCAAGTTTAAAGTATCGTTTCTATTTTAATAGACACTAATAGTGATTTAACAAAAAGAATTAAATCATTATTTCATTTACACTTTTATTATTTTATCATTACAGTCGGTCTTGGGTTGTACATCACAGTAATTGGGACATTTACTCTATATTAATTTTGCATGACGGTATCCTAGGCCGCATCTTGGTAAATTCTAGACAGCCTACTGTACGAACTTGTACAAAATTTTCAAGTAAGCATTCTTGACAATAAGTAGCTAAATTCTAGAAAAGCTACATATCTATTTATCGGCCACGATAAATTTCTACACGGGAACGTTTACGATCAACGATTAGAAAACAAATTATTTTTTAAGACGGAAAATTATAAAAAATTTGATTTGAAAAAATGTTTTTTATAACATTTTGATCAATATACATTGCAAACAATATTTTTGAGGCGAAAATTCATAGAATTTTCCATTTAAAAAAATTTTTTTTTGAAAATGGTTTATCATAAACGATGAGAACTTCAGCACCTTTAAATTTTACTAAATATAATACAGGCATGCAGCAATTTGGCATTATGAATGCGGTGTCCAAAATGCTCCATCACGTCAAGTTTTTGGCACTTTTTGAAAAATTGTGAGGCAAAATCCAGAAGTGATAAAAACTGCTATTATCAGAAATTAAAGCTTAATTCGTGCCCTTTCAAATGAGCCCACAGTCGACTCATATGCTTCAACCCTTAGAGTAGGGAGTGACTTTTTGTACAGGAGTGCAAAAATGTGCAAACCTGTTGCTAAAAAATTTTCTCGTTTCACAACCTCTAAAAACAACCCTTAAATAAAATCTTTTTAAAATCCGAAATATCTGTAGAAAAAATTCAAAATGTTATATTAATCATTTTTCTACATTGAATAACCATAAAAAGAATTTAAAACCTCTCCCTGTTCGAAAATAACTTCTTATTTTCCTCCAAAAACAACCCTTAAATTTTAATTTATTATAATAAATTTATTGACAACTGAAAAATATTAAAACTGTGTAATTACTAATTAGTGAAAACTTTTGCTAATACATTAATAAATTTTAACTAATACATATAGCAAAAAGTAATTCACTAATTCTAATTAGTCAAAATTTTTATCAATTCGGAATTAAAGAGCAAAAAATACGAATTTTTCAGCGTTTTTGGTTAAAAACGAAAAAGTAATTTGACTTAAATAAGAAAATTGCTTTTTAATTTTTTAAAAAAATGTTTTTAAAAATTTAATGGAAACGACCATTTGAGTTAAATCATTATTTTAATATAAACGACTCTAATTCAAATCATTGACAACAAAATTAAATTGTTTTTCATCCCTAATTTTGATATAAAATATTTACCCTATTATTCTTATTCATTTAATAATACTTTTTAAAAATATTTTCAATTAATAATATTTCTACATTAATAATTTCATTAGTTCTAGTGGTTGCTCAAAACATACACCGAAGAAAAAAAATTATTTCATTCATATAAAAAAATGACAATTATGAAATAATTATTTATTTAAATTAAATAAGCTGTACTAATGCTAATAATTTCTGTGTTTCAAACAAATATCATTTTTAATTTACTCAATTCATAATTATTTGATAATAGTCAAGTAACCAATTACATATTTGAATCATATTAATTTTTTCCAGTGTAATACTCAACGTTCTGTTTATTTATTTTTATTTATTAAATTATGTAAATAAAAAGTTAAGTGAATAATAAAAAGAAAGAAACAATTAATAAAATTTATAAACAGTTTGACACGATTTGAATGATCGTTATTGTTCAAATTAACATTTTTTTAAATTTCTAAATAATAAATCACTCAATCCTTGTTTTTAAAAAACAAACAAATTTCATTACAATGGACAGAAAAAAAATATCTGTTGAATTGCATTTTCTTTAAACTCTGCCGTTGTTGACAAAGCAGAAAAGAAGGTTAAGTAATCTCCATTTAATTGACTGCATTTAGGTGAAGTTTGACGACTGTCGATTAGATTAATTAATTAACCAATTGAGTTACAGGATAAGAAAAAAGAAACAACCAATTAAAAGTCACGAATCCTACCTCCTAAGCACTGAGAAACCCCGAAACCGAGCAACCCCCGATTTTGTAATTTTTCCATTATTCCAAAAAACTGTCAATTTAAAAAGAATTTCTCCGTTAAAAAGAGAGAGAGAGTGACAACCCGCTGCAACTCACCCTCGTCGTCGACTGATTCGTCTGGCGTCGACGAACACGTCTGAGCATTCGCCTGGATCAGCTGCGTCTGTCGATTCTCCCTGAGGCGGGTGAAAAAATCGACCGCGTAATCCACAATATCTCCCGGTTGTTCCAGTAGATAGTTGATGGTAAATTCCAGCAAAATATCCCTCAAGTCGTCGGGCACTGTTATTTTCCCGTCATTTCGTTGACAGCTCATTTTCATTCAACAAATTCCTGATTTTTTCTTTTTTTATCAAACTTGTCACCCGCACACGACACTTAACCAACCCCCACACTCACACACACAAAAAAATTATCTAACCTCCTTTCACGTTAGAATGACAATTTGACTATTTCTCCGAATTGACAGTAAGAGAAATTTGAAAACTGCGGAATATTAGGTAAAATTATTCACTCCCCGTTACAACGAGAGAGATTCACGGAAAATTGTGTCCATTCCTGGATTTCGTGTGATCGCGAATGGGCAAATAGCACACACACACATCCGCGCACACGAGCTGATTCCGAACGCCGAAAATGTTCACGGCACAGTTTCTCTTTTACCAAAAACGATTTCGCAAAATTCACCACGCCTTGTTTGTACTTTTTATATATAAAGAAATTCACGTCACGTACACAACCGTCTGGAAAAACAGATGATAATGGGGACTTGAGAGAGATTCACATTCGCCTTGCCTTCAGCAAAAATGGCGAACACGGGACTTTGCAGGCGTGCGCTTGATTCGCGCAGTTAATTTCGTTCCCAATTTTTGTAAAAAAAACCGCATAAACAATATTACTCTACTCCCGTGAGTAAAATTATTTTTTGCCATAAAAGTTTATGCAAATGTAATAAGAATTTTTATTGATTTTGTATAGTTAGGGATTTTGAAGGAACTTGAAATTCCGGAAGTCAAGTGTGTAACGATCGAACAATTTTGGCACGAGATTTTAAATAGAAACATATAAAAAGAGAAAAATACAAACTGAGAAAAATCTGTAGATTTTTATAATTGACGACACGAGTAAATAAATACATGTTAAAAATATTGAATTTATATACTGTTAAAAGGGAAAAATAATACAGTTTAGTCTGCTTGATATTTTCGCGCCAAGTTTTAAAAATCAATTGCGACACCTATTAGATACATTCACAACTTTTCTCGTATGCTGTCGTCTACTACATCCGGTTTGTCGGAATAGTGATTGTTTTTCTTGCCTCGAATTTGTTAAATAAAACTAAATTGCCGAAATGGATAAAGAACAATTTGACAATTTTCTTGGTGGCTCGCAAGAATTGCCACATGAGGCGAATATTCTTAAAATTGCTTCGGCAAGAGCCAATGAAATCGCCGCTATGACTAATTCACTCGGTTTGTAAACATCAATTATAACCTCAAAATTTTAAAAATCAATTATATCAAATAACTTATATATATATATAATACAATTAATGTTTATGATTTATCTTTCAAAAATGTATAAAATAATGTTTTAATTGTTTTTCTATAAAACAGTAACGTTAAACGCTGGTTTGTGATTTTTAAAATTATGTTTAAAATTAATGTGTTTGAAAATCATAATCTATATTTATTATTATTAATTTTAATTCTTTTATTATTCGTCGATAATCAAGAATATTGTAAGTCGGTTTCATTATGTGATGATTAATATTTTATAAGACATTACCGATTGGTTATCATTATTATAATTATTAAAGCTCACCATCAAAACACTTACTTTTTCTTAAAAAATCATAAATTTAATATTAATGACATAAAATTTTTGGTTTTTTAAATAAAAAAAATTATATCTTTAAAATTATTAAGTTCTGTAACTTCAAAATACAATGTTTTAATCCAAAACACTCTGTAAATGAAAATCAATATCTAAATTACAGGCCTCGGATTATACAATTTTTCTACTTATTTAAATAAGATGAGACTTTTTATACTTTTTTTTTACATTTTTTTTACAAAATTTTTAAACAAGATACGTCTTCTTTAGTATACAATGCAGATATTATACAGATCTTTATTTCAATTATTTAACAAATTTTTAACTAAAATTTTTCTCTAAATTAATTATTTTTTATAATCTTAATGAAATTTTTCAAAAATTTAATTATCTTAAATTATTTTTCAAATTAAAAATTTTATGAAATTCAATAATTGTTTAAAATTTTTTTTAAAAAATTCTCAAATAGAATTACCAAAAATTTCAATTTAAAACCTTTTAAAATTTAATTATTTTTAAAATTTTCCACCAACAGTTTTTGAAATTTGATAATTTCAATTATAACTCTTCAAAAATTGAATTATTTTTAATGATTTTTATAATATGCTTCAAAAATTCAATTATCTGAAAGCAATTTTCAATTACAAAATTTGTAAGTTCAATTCTAAATTCTGATTGGTCCTGAAAATTTAGTTACTCAGCTTTAAAATCCTGGTCGGACAATTTTCGTATCCCACGAAAGGATAAAGTTATATAAGATTTAACAGAGCACTGGAAATGGCTTTTTTTACACCATCTGGTGGGGTCAACAAGCCACTTTGCGATTTGGGCAAAATATATTATCAATTTTTGTTTTTTCACGTTTTTTCTTTATTTATATAACAAATAATATTATTTTAATAAATTTTAAAGAATATTAATATTAATTCGAATGTAACAATAATATAAAATATAAGAGAAAAATCTTCTTCCTTCGCTTTCAATCGATGCATTTTTTAATATTATTTCACAAGCTGATTATAAAATATTCAATATTTTAAAAGTTACGTAAAGAATTTTAAAAAACCATGTTTTTGTTATTTTTAAATGTTTTTTAAATTGACAGAATATTTTCCAATATGTGTACGTCCGCATGAAAAGGTACCACTTTAGTTTCTTTCATAAGGGCGATATTTGCATTAATGCTCACGCAAAAATAATCCTTATTGTAATCGACAAAGTGGTCCGTTTTCATGCGGACGTACACATATATCAAAAGATACGTCTAAAAAAATTGAACAGAATTAAAAAAAACATCTGTAGGTGTCTAAAGATTTATCAAAATATACGGGCAAAAATCATTTTTTTTTTAAGAAGTAAAAAACCCGAAAAAATATAAATAGTTAAATTTGATTTCCAAAAATTCATAACCTTATATTTATTTATAATGAGTGTATTTAGCTATTAATTAATTAGATGTTAAGATATATTCTTCAAGTTGTAAAATTGAAGTTTAGGTAAAGTGAAATAATTGGTAGGTGTTCTTTTTATTCACAGAAAATCCTCAACAAACAAAGTTAATTTTCCAAAAACTTCCACGTCACATGCGTAGACGGATAATGTCGCACAATGTCAAGCGAATGCCTCAACGATTACGGGAATCTCATCATAATCAAATGTTAAAATCGGGATTGCCACCGGAAAAAAATAAAGTCCCATCTAGAAAACATCGTCGACGACCACGAAACCTTCTACTTGAATACAATCGCCGCAAACGAGACAAATTTTGGCTTGAGACTCATATTTGGCATGCAAAACGATTTAATATGATGGAAAAATGGGGATTTAAATTAGCCGAACATCCAAACGATAAATGTTTTAAAGCAAATTATAGAGCAATAGCAGCTCATTCGTTAATTCAAGATATTTCTTATTACACCTGCGTGGAAATTTCAGGATCTTCAAAAATTTTAATATCATCCCTTCAGGAACATTGCGATCCATCTTTTAATTTTCAGCAGGAGTCATTTCTTAAAGGCGAGAAAGAAGGATCCATTATGTTTTACAAAAAAGGCGGTTTTCCTCATTCTCCTCTAGGAAATATAAATTTTATGTGGAAGTCGGAAAATTTGAATTCGAATGAATGTGCAAGTTTTCGTTCGATTTGGCTTTGGATTCACCCGGGAAATTATCAGGAAATATTTTACGATCTTGTTTCCAATTTTGGATTTGAGTTGAAATCTCCTGTTGACTGTATGGAGGTTTTTGAAAAAGAAGACTTTAACGATGTTAAAAAAATGCCCTCGGCTTTTAAAATACTGAAAGAAATGAAACTGACAGTTTTTAGAAATGAAAGGGAATGTGAGATGACAATACTTAGAAACTCATTAAATCGGTTCCGAATTAGTGGACCGCTGACTTTATGTGCTTTAACGGATGCTTTAAAATTTCCAAAAATCGACGTGGAATCAAATGTTGAAGCTTTCGATAAAGTAATGGACGAAAATGAAGAAACAATGTTGACGCGTCAAGAAAATGATTGGTATCCTTCTTTCTATTCAAAGCCGGAAAATGTAGAAGCTTTCAAGTGTCAAAAAAACTTATTCGAAAAGCTGAAAACTCTCAAGTCTACGAACCAAATTCCCGACAATTCAATAATTGCTTTAACAGTTTTGGATCCGCGATTTTTTGCCCCAGAGAAAAGAACCAAACCGGATCCTAAAATAGAAACTGAAGATTTATATTTGGAGGAGGAAAAAAATGTACTTCCTGATTTTGTAAATCACAGTGGCATTTGGGACATGGAAATTAGAACTAATGTGACAAAGAATTGCTTAGCGACGAGTCAAATCAATAAAATGCGACGACAAGTTTTGGTTCCGGGAATGGAAAATGATGAATGGTTTGACGAGGACAAAATTCAAAAGATTCCAATTCTTTTGATTCATAAACCCGGAATTCGAAGACCTGGCGGTGTTACCCACAGGAGAAATGGTATGTTTTACTTAATTATGTTTTTTAAAAAATAACTTCTTGCATAAGTGTCTGCTGCTAAAAGGAAAAACGATTTTTGACTGAATTCTGATTAAAATTTTTTTTAGTACTGCTTTATAATTTTTTATCAATTTTTTTATCAAGCCATTTAAGAGATAATTATAAGTTTTTAGAAATTTACGTTACTTTTTTTAATTTATTTCTCACAAAAAATACGGAAAAATTTTGTAAAATGATATTACCAATAGATTTTCAAGGTTTTGTAACTGAAAAATAATTTGTCATTTTTAACAATGTATGTACTGATCGATTTTTTTAAAAACTTTTTTGTGAAGAAACCCGTTTTGGGAGTTTATATAAAATGTTAAAGAAAATCCTTCAGTACATACATAAAAATGACAAATTATTTTTGAGTTGCAAAACTTAAAATTTAAATTTCATATATATAAAAATATCTTGTAACTTTGTCATTTTTAGTCCGATTCAAAGTTCTTCTTTTAAAAATCTTTTAATATGTTTTTTTTTCTATATTTTATCAAAGCTTCCGTTCCATTTTCAATTTCCTTTTCATTTATTTCGTCTTATTCTTAAACCTTCTTCTTTTATTTTTATTTCTCCTTGCTCCTTTTACATTTTTTTTTTTTATATTTTTTGTTATAAATATTTTTATTTATTTTTTATCCTGGAAAGATTTTTTTAAACTAAAAAAATTAATAAACATTTAAAACAAATAAATAATACCTACCTTTAAATTAATAATTTATTTATTTATTTCTAAAATGCTGAAAAAAAGATGTTCTAAAGATCATCTAAAAAAGTCCCAACGGGTATCGTTTTTTAATGACATTTACTCGTATCTAATCGAAGCTTTTTAAAAAAGTTTCATTTTTAACAAACTGTCGGAGTTTTAACGAAAGATTTGATTTTAAAAAAAAAATCGATTTTATTATGGCTATAAAAAAATGAATGAAAAAGATGTGTTTCAATCAGATTGTAGATAGTGTGCTATATTTGAGATCAATCGATCAAGCCATCTTTGAGAAAAGTTGTCCATCAATTGAAAAAATCTGATTTCGAGAAAAAAGCGTTTAAAATTTTAATTATATGTAGTTTATGCAAAAGTAAAAAAATTATTAATCAACTTACATAATATTTGCAGCTTCTGCAACATTTTGCATTTTCTAGTACTATTTTAAGTACCGAGAAATTACTATAAAGAACTCGACTTTACTTTGCTAAAAGTTGCATTTTTCAATTAAAATTGATCGAATCAGTCTGAAATTTTCAGGAAATACTTCTGAAACAGTCTACTTTCAGAAAATGATATAAGCCCAAAATCAATTTTTTTTAATTTCAACTCGTTTACCCCCTTAATTTATTTTATTGTTTAACATTTTTTCTAAAAAAATTTGTTTTTTCTTTTAATGTTCACTTTTTTGGCAAAGAATTGAAATAATTTATTCTTTAAATTAATTAATTCTTAATTTTCTTTAATTAAAATTTGTATTTTTAAAATTGAAAAAATGGTTTCTTTTCAGGATTTGCTTCTGGATTCGATGTCATTATACCGGAAAATTGGGCCTTGTCATTTTGGCTATCATTTATTTTCCGTTGCGTTCGACCCGGAGGACTCAGGGAATCTCGATCCATGATTTTTGAGACACTAAATATGTCGTCACCGGATATTTTTCATCCTGGATCACCAGCCTACGAACGTGAAGCAATCCATCAACGGCAAATACTCAAAGAAGATTATTTTAAACATCCACCAAATCGACGAGTGAATTTCACAAAATTTGCAATTACCACACCTTTTTTTTGCGAATGGGGTATTCTGACAAAAGAATGGGGAGCTCAGGGTGAATTTTTCACTCTTAGAAACAAAGCACTACTGGAAAATCTCGACGAAAATCTTACGCGAAGGAAAAGTAAGTCATTTTTAAAGACGGATACATCTTTGAATGTTGAGCCATTTTCTTCTGAATTAGATAAAAATTATTTGGTGCCAATTAAAGTGACAATCGAACGAAAAGGAGTACCGGAAAATTTTTCCATAATTTGTTTGCCGACTGAGGATGATTTGAAAACATTCAAGAAAAATCGGAAATGGTCGGGACCTGTCGAAAGTCTTAAATCTGACGCAAATGAAAAAGAGAGATTGAACTCGAGGAAGAAACACTTGGAACTGTTGAAAAAGTTGAGAAAGCAAAGAGTGAGAATGAAAAAAAAACTCGAGAGTGTGAGAAATGAAAGTGATAAAAGTGATGAAAATGATGATGGATTTCTAAATGAAATTAAAATGATTAGGAAAAAATGTTTAAATGGTAATAAGACCATTATTGAGACTCAGGCACGAAAAATGGAAGAACTTTGTATACCAAAATGTAGTCGTGTAAGATTTTCCTGTGATCGAGAAGTTATGGGATTCGTTGAGCAGGGCGGATTTTGTCTCTCGGAAGCAAGAGGCGTTGGTCGAGGTTACATTGTTTTAGAAGCTTTAAAAAATTTAATTTGTCAAAAAAGAAATCTTGTTCTAATTCGAAACACACAGTCGAGAAAATACAGATTTGCGAATCTCGAAGTTCTAATCACCTGAAAATGTGAAATTTTTGTCATTAGAAATAAAATAAATTTTTAAAAATAAGAAAAAATTTAATTTCTTAAACTCTAAAACATTGAATCAAATTAAGCTCTGAAAGATTTAACATTTATGTACCTTAATCATGCAGTATTATAACTATTAAGAAAGATTTTTAATATTAAATTTAAAAAAATAAGGGGTTAAAAATTTTCGCAAGTGTTTTTTTCAAAACATAAGATCCAATTACAATATTTTTTCATCGATTGAAAATAGTTCAATCATCGCGATTTAATTTTAATATTGTACATAAGATCTAGTAATTTTAAAATACTTACGAAAAGAGAAAATCTTAATATTTAATAGGTTTATTTTTCACTGACAATATAAAAACAATTGTCACCTGAAACGAGTCTCCATACGAAAAAACCAGAGGAATGACGATTTCAGTATTTTTCTTATTTTATTTAATAGCAATTGATTTTCTGCTAACTTGAAATGAAGTATCATGTTCGTAGATGATAACTTTGTTGTAAAATAATTTATATCTATTAATGTTTCGTTTTTGATTTAGTTCAGAGGAATGACGACTGAAGGGGTTGTGAATCAATTTATGCATATTTTTACTTTAAATAAAGTAATTTTCCAAAAAAACGCATCAGAAATTAACAACAGAGGTGTTAATTGAGTTAATCTATATTAAAAATATTGAATATTATTCAACGGGCCGGAGGAATGACGCGCAACAAAAAGAAAAAATTTAAATCCATTCTGTGAAAAATATACAAGTCCGATTTTATTTATATTTTGGAGAAATGTTTTACAATTTCATAGCTTTCAGAAAATATTCATTTATTACCTACTGATTTTTAAGTTTAAAATTTTTTTTAAGTATTGAAGGAATGAAAAGTAGTCATGGGGTCTGGCCAATTAACCTAACTTTTTGAGTTAAAATTTAAAAAAAAGTACATTGAATGATTAAAATATACAAGGGTAGGATTTTTAGAAAGAGTAATAAATTAATGCAAAATAAGTAATGTTCTGTGAGAATCACCCATATATTTATAATGTCAACATATTGTGACAAGAATTCTTAGAAAGTCATGAAAATAAATCCATTGGAAGATCCTTCTTTCGTGGAAAACTCGTCTGAGTTCCAGTCTTTAAGACGGATTGTGTTGCAATTGTACAGGATCTTTTAATTTTTTCCTCTATCGATAAATTTGGGTGATAAGCTGTGAAATAAGCAAAAGCCCCTAAAAATGCATCTCCCGCGCCCTGAGAAGAAAAATGTAAGAATCATTAATTTTTGTAAAACGATAAATATATTTTATAAAGACATTTAATTATAAACTCATTGAAAGTTTTGAACTTACGGTAGTATCGACAGACTTAACTTTATCAGTTGGAATGCAATTAATTTTATTATTATCTCTGGAAGCAAAAATGGCTCCACATGAGCCGAAGGTTATTATAATTGTATTACATCCCATTTCCAAAAGTTTATCAACGGCTTCTTGAACATTTAAAATTGTAAGATTTTTTATTCCCGTTATGCATTCAGCCTGGAAAATATCATTTGTTCGATTGCATTTTTATAATTACATATATTGTAAAAATTAGAATACCCTATTGAAAAAAACACGTATAATTATACGTTTAATTAAACTTGTCTATATTTTATAATATTTAGGTATATATTAATAAACAAAAATATATTCCATATTTATATATTCCTAAATATTAAAAATTATAGATACGTATAATTATACGTATAATTCTTGTTTCAAATTCGTATATCTTATTATACGTATAATTATACGTGTTTTTTTTCAATAGGGTAAAATGAAAATAATTTTTGTTGAACTTGAAATTTAAACTTTCTTTACAACACTATTTGTTTACCTCGGATTCATTAACACAAAACACATCGGCCAGTTGAAAAATTTCAGGATGAATATTTGCAACTGCAGGTGCTGCATTTACAATCGAAATGCCTATTTTTCAAATGGATTACTTAATTATTATTTATTATTTTGACCCGTCAGTTCAATTTGAAAAAAAAACCATTGTTAAAAAATCGAGTGTTTTTATAATTTTCAGAAAAATAAATTAAAAAGTTTTGAATTGTTTTATTTGTATTTAGATTAAATGTTTAAAAAATCAAATTATTTAATTACCCGTGTGGAAAAAGCCACGATCTCGCCCCCAAAACTTCGGGGCCCCCGGCGGGAGCACATGAGGGCTGATCCATATGGCGAATCCATGAGGGCCAACGTAGGGGCCCGCATGGATCGCCCTCATGATCGATTAGCAAAATTTTCTAAGTCCAAAAGTCAAATATTTTTTTATCACCAAAAAATTAATGTTTACAATGATTCAGAACAATGAAAAACGCGTTTTTAATAAAAATATATTTTCACATTTTTTGAAAATTCACTTGGGATGATTCATGATAAGAATCATAAAGCATATAATTAATTATATAATAATAAAATGCTTGGTCTGTCCTTCTGTCCTAACTTGAAGTTGGTCTTTTCTGATTTCACGTGTTTTTTGAATTATAATGTTATGACGTGTCAAATTTGTGTCAAATTTTGACAATTCTGTTTCTTATTTTTGCCAAAGTTGTATAATTGTGTTTCCCAATTTCGGAATTAGTTTCTTTAAAATTCCAAATTCAAATTCAAAAATTCAATTTACGAAGATGAAGTACACAACGTTTATCAACGAAAATTTTTTTTAAAGTTGTATATTGAGCTTAAATTACATATATTTATTGTAGGCGGAATATTTAAAGCATTTTTCAGATAAATATTCCGCCTTTGTTAAATATGAGCTGCCGGATATTATAACGATACATAAAATTTCTACAGCCGTATTCGTTGGCCCCTGGTACCTTAACCCTTTAATGGCCGAGTTTTTTGTCGTTACTTTAGGCTTATAATGTATATTAGATTTAATTACTAAAGTATTCAGTATGAGAAAAAAATTTTTTTTAACATGTCTCACCCCTTAAAACCACCCCCACGGTACATTACTACCCCAAAAAACTGATATTTAACCAAATTGATGAATTAAATATTTTTCAGCTCTTATCTACTTTTTATTTATTTATAAACATTGCCTGGTTGCTTAAAAATTGAAAAGGATCAATAACCCCTTGAAAACACCCTTAAAGTCAAATAATCATTCCTTGACGGTGAAAGTTTTTGTAAATGATTAAAAAAAATCTATAGATTCTAATTGCTTCTAAATTATAAACAATTATTTGAAAGTTACACAGACATAGATAATAATAATAATAATAATAATAAACTCACCCCCTACCCTTGAAGCCCACCCCTAATTCATAACTATTCTCAGTTTGGAACAATCAAAAAAATAATTTTCACTGATTTTCGAAAATATGAAAAAAAAAATTTTCTATGATAACTAAGTATTAATACTGAATATAAACAACCCCTGAAAAACAACCCTTAAGTCAAATAACCACCCCTTAATGATAAATGTTTTTGTGAATAAATGAAAAAAATTATATGGATTCTAAGTGCTTCTGAATTGTAAAAAAGTATTTCAATGTTTCACAGATATGGATAATAATAATAAACTCACCCCCTACCCTTGAAATCCACCCCTAATTTATAAGTTATAAGATACTGAATTCAGTTTTCAACAATCAAAAAAATAATTTTCACTGATTATTATCATATTGAGAAATGCATTGAGTACATACTCAATGCACTCCCCTCCACGATGGCGTAGAGGGGAGTGCATTGGGTAAATGAAAGGGGGGGGGGTACGACAGTAGCAAAGAAGCTCCCATGTGGAACTGCTGTTATAAGGCAATCAGCGCGTCGTTTCGTTTTCTCTGTGTAGCGTTCTCCCACTACCTCACCGATTGAGCCTGGGTCTGTAATTTTCATTTTCATACTAAACTCCTAACAACAGGCACTAAAAGCTACAAAATTAATAGGCAATAATGACACCAGCATTATTTTGCAATTTTAAAAACTGACATCATATTCGTAATTATCGACCCCGAAAACCCCTGAGTAATAAGTTTCAGATGAATCTAATGAAAGTTAATCATTTCGTCCGCCATATTGGATCCGCCATTTTCAATTTTCTAAATCTGATATCGGATTCGTAATCAGCGACCCCGAAAACCCCGCAAGTGACAAGTTTCACATGAATCTAGTGAATTTTTATATTTATCGGTCGCCATATTGGATCCGCCATTTTGAATTCTTAAAGACGGACATCGGATTCGTAATCAGCCACCCCGAAAACCCCCGAGTGATAAGTTTCACGCGAATGTAGTAAATTTTTATAATTATCGGTCGCCATTTTGGTTCCGCCATTTTGAATTTTTGAAAACGGACATCGGATTCGTAATCAGCGACCCCGAAAACCCCCGAGTGATAAGTTTCACGGGAATCTAGTAAATTTTTATAATTATCGGTCGCCATTTTGGATCCGCCATTTTGAATTTTTGAAAACGGACATCGGATTCGTAATCAGCGACCCCGAAAACCCCCAAGTAACAATTTTCAAGCGAATTTATTAATTTTTAAAGGTTTTGGTTTTTAGGGGTAGTTTTAGTTATTTTTCTGCACCCTCGGGTTGAATTTTTAATATTAATTTTTTTTTACAAAGGTTGCAATATTTTTAAACATATGTTACTATGAAAGCCTGAAAAAAAAATTTCTTCTGAAATTTATACCTTTTTTTTCATTTTTCTCATTTTTCGGGTTTTTTGAAGGGGTGTATTTCAAAGAGGGTAGTTTTTTAAAAAAATACATGTATTTACATTTGTTACTCTATCCCTCCCCTTCAAAATGAGATCTTAGTGGAGTTAATCGATTAAGTTTTAAGAAAGTTATGATTTTTTGAAGTAGGTGGGACGTATGTGTCCCACTGGCCATGAAAGGGTTAATTAGAAAAAAAGTTATTAATTTTTTTATTGCTTAGTGTTAGAAGAGGGCTTTATCTTTTTCAAACGCTTCATTTATGTAGGGAAATTTCCTTGAAGACAAATTTCCTCTGAATCAATCTGTTATTGATACACAATAATGATTTCTGTAAAGTTTTATTTTAATAAACATTTTTTTATTATCAATAAACATTTTTTTCAGAGGAAGTTTATCCTCAGAGAAAATTTTTTAGATAAACGAAGCTTTTGAAAAATATAAAGCCTTGCAGCACTGAGCAACAAAAAGTTAATAATTTTTTTAAAATTAAAAATGAATTATTATTAAGGATCATTTAAAGTATAATTTAAACTATATCTCCTGTAAATTGTATATAAAAGTATTCAGAACTTTACATTTTATAACGAATTAAAATGAAAATTTTAATTGAAAGTAATTTTATGAAAAATTTAGGTTTTTGCTCTTTTCTCAAAAACTGTTACAAATACAAAAAAATTTATGAAAAGAAAAAAGATGAGCCAGGAAATTTCGTACAAGATAGTAATTTGAAAATTTTTTTTTTTTAAATTAATTTTTAAGGTGCCAGGAGCCAACGAATACCGCTGTAGAAATTTTATGTATCGTCATAATATCCGGCGTCTCATACACTGGAGTCTCCCAAGAGAGGACTTTTGAAGAAAGGACTAAGTAGTGACGCGGTGCGGTAAGGAGTGAGGGGGGAAGAGATGGGCGGGATCAGAAAGAGGAACGTGAACTCAGGAGCGTTTGTTTTTAGTGTACCTTTCTCGCGTAGTGTTTTACATATGTAATAGAATGTATTTTGTTAAAAAAATACATCTCTGTGATACGATATACGGCCCTGGAGTGTTTACAATTTTCGGCGTCAAGGACGAATTCCGTAGAGAGGTCCAAGACTCTTCCTGTCTTCTCTTCGGAGACTCTAGTGTATATGTAATTTAGACGTAATATTTAAATTTAAAAAACAATGTTTTTGTTGATAAACGTTGTATATTTTAGCTTCGTTTCAATTCTTTTAAATATTAATTTAAATTTTTTAATTTCTTTATAACAAACAATTACATACTCAATTTGGCGCGCGTTTAATTTTGCTAGTTATATTTTATAAAATGCATTTGATTGGAAAATATAATTTAATATCTTAACTGTAACTAAATGATGTTAAGCACTTTTCTGAGTTAGGTATTTTGCAAGTTTAAATGCCATCAAGAAGTTAGTATTCGTTTTCACGTAGCGTGCGTAGCGTAGTTGATATAGCGTTGGGCTCATAGTCCGTAGGTCATAGGTTCTATTTCCCCCATGCGTTAGATTTATTTATTTTTCAGGTTTGCGTTTAATCATTAATTCTATGTATGAATTAGTTGAAAAATGAAAATATCCGATCATAAAATATTTTTTAATTTTTTAATTAATTAATTTATTATTACTTTTAATCTATATCCGACAGTTAATTAATTAGAACGTTAATTAATAAATTCAATTTGAGTAAGAATTTCATTTAAAAATGGAAGAATTAGTAAATAAATATGTTATTTATTCATAATTGAAGCTTATTTATTATTAATTAACTATTATTATTAATATTGTTGATTAAAAAACATTAAGGCAAACTTGAGGGCAAACGTGAGGGCGCCCTCATCGATGAGCATGTCGTTTCCATGAGGGGCCCCTACACTGAGAAAAATATTCTATTGAATCAACAGCATTTCTGCCAAAGGTATAAAAATTATTGAATCAAAAGCATATGCTATAAAATTTGTAAAATATTTTATAGATTATATAGCATATACTTTTGAATCAATAATTTATATACCTTTGGCAGAAATGCTACTGATTCAATAGCATATTTTTCTCAGTGTATGGATCACCCATATGCGCCCCTCATGGCATGAGGGCGATCCATAAGGGCCCCCACTGGGGGCCCACATCACTTTTCCACACGGGTATTTTTTAAAATAATGTTATTTATTGATGTTTGTATGTTTTTTCTCTATTTAAATATTTTATAACTTAAAATGATTATTTTTCAATTTATTTCACTAACCGTTATTTTTCAATTTATTTCACTAACCGTTATTTTTTTTTAGTCTCAATGCATGTAAAGTTGTAGCGATTGGAGTTTCAAATTGACAAAGTAACACTGACGATTGTTTTAATACATTAGCTGCTTCATCAATGTCTTCCTTTGTTAATAGTTCATTCGCTCCTGGCACTATTATAATATTATTATCCCCTAAAATTATCGTAATTTATTACATAAAATTTAATAGACGACTAAATATTTAAAAAATTGGTTTCTTAAATCGATGATGACAGGTAAGTAATGATGTTAATATTCAGTATTTTATTATGAGGCACGTGAGACTCAAAATCATTCTAAATGCAAACAAATTTTCAATTTTTCATCAAACTTATAAAAAAAAATTTAATTCTTTAATCAATTAGATAAATCAGTCTGCAATCACCTAGAATAGTTCATTATGTGGCAAGCACGTAAAGCAAGATTTTTTAGGTGAGGATGAGATTCTCATTATGAGTCGTCATTGCGACAAGAGTGAGACGAAGGCGAGTCAAGTCGAACCGAAGTTGCAATGTCTGCGAGTACATATTGAAATCTCATTCGAACCTAAAAATTGCTTCGTGCTTCGCCACTGACACGAAAAAGTGAAAAAATTGAAAAAGTGATACTTTATCGGACCAAAACAAGTAGAAAAAAGTCACTTTTTCATGTCAGTGGCGAAAAAAAATTTATAATTACTACTTAAATATTACTTATAATTATTATAAACCGAGTCCAAAACTTGTATAAAAATTACTTATTTACGTTATTCATCAATTAAGATAAACATTGTGCAATTTAGCTTTAATTATGTAATTGGGATCTGAAATCATAGGGAATTATGGGGAAACTGACCCCGTTGCGACAGCCATCTTGATTTTTTATCTCTTTCTTCTACATATATTTTAAAAAGGATGAAACGAAAAATGGCTGACACAACGTGGTCGTCACCAGATGGCGTATCGCAGTATTTCAGATCCCAATACCAAAATATTAATTAACACTCAAAACGGTTATCAACTTATAAAATTGATTTACTCTACCTTTACGCCCGAAAAAATTGGATTTTTACAAATCTTTCTAGGCCATTTTATAGAAATTTTAATGAAATGAAATACATTGTATCAAACAGGATATGTTTCTATGTACATACTTGTATAGAGTTTAAAAAGCAAAAAATAATGTTAATTGTGGATACTGTGGCCGTTACTCCTAAACACCTCATTTTTCTCAGTTGTTTGTAGTGACTACAATTTCTTGGAAACCTCTGTATCAAGCAATCTGAAACCTATAGGCCTACAAACAAAGTCTAAAAATGCCGGTTCGGTTAGTATCGGGAGAAATCGTAATCATCAACAAAAAAGATGTGTTTCAGAGTTTGTTAAACTTGTTACCTGTGCCTGTAAATTTATTCTATTTGAAACAATTTACTGCATTTCAATATAACTGAGATAAGATGATTAAAAAAATTATAAAAATTCGATAATTTTTCCGAGCAAAAAGGTGTGTAACCCCTTAAAATTATTTTTTACCATTGTCAGCAACAGTTATTTGAGCTGCACCAGTGTGAGAGTTTTTCCTGTTTTTTACGTATGTAACATCAATACCTTCCGATTTTAATTTATCAATATATTGTTGACCTAATACGTCTGATCCCAACTGAAGAAAGTAACCTTTGAATTAGTTTATTATTTATAAGCACCTATTAAGCTTGCATTTTTTTGCACAGCTCTAACATTGTTGTTCCATTTTTTTATTTACACAGTTAATTGGAAAAAATCTCAGCTTTCGAATAAAAATTACAAATTTTTTAAATTAATTACGTAAACAAGGGTTTTGAACCCTCCCCCGAATAAACATGTTGTACATGAAAAACCCAACAAAAAACCCTATTGACAAATTAAAATCCATTAAGTTTTGTAGTTTATACGGATTTAAAAATAACAGCGTTACTTAAAAACTCAAAACTTCAATCCCCTCTACTTTTTATAATTTTTTAAAAGATAAGTTTATACTTCGAGATTTTGTTACTTTTATATAGGAAAACAATTTATTAAAGTATTCGACTTTTTTCACAGAATTCCTCATGAGGCATTTCATATCAAAAGACGGGTCATGTCTCGGATTCTTCACAAAATTCGGTAAATTATAGTGATAATAGTGTTAATTTAAATTTAAACAAATTTTGAATATTTTTGCAGTTATTTACAATAACAAATTTTAGCAATATTTTTTTGCTTTACTTATAACTTTTTCCCTACTAAAAATAGAGAAAAAAAATCATGAATAGAGGAGAGTGGGGTGAAGCTGTGCAGTCAAATTTCTCGAAAACAGTAAAATATAATTGTTCAAGACAAAGTTACACCAATTTAACCTTTACATTTGGTGCTATAACATTTAAAATTTCTTTATCTCATAGACGATTCAGAATAAATAACTTGTTTCAATCTCTGAAAATTCCAATTTTCGTTTTCATAAAATGGGAATTTTTTCTACAAATGTTTTTCCTATTTAACTTAAACCTAATAATTTTATTAAGTTAGTATCCTGTACTATGGGAACCATTATCAATTGTACCCTAGGTACTAACTTAAAATTCAAAGGGGAAAAGAGCACTGCTTCGACTTTATATTCTATTACCACGCCGCTTCGCCACAACTTTTTTGTGCTTGAAAAATTGTAAATAACTTTTTATGGTTTAAATCTACAACGAAAGTATATATTTAACAAAAGTGCGGATGAACGGTCGTTAAATTAATAATTAATAATACAAATTATTTAAACAATTAATAACATCTGAAGAAATGAAGATAGTGTCAATTCTTTTTTTATTTTGAAAATCATCTAATTCTGAGTAAAAAAATAATATTAAGTATAAGTACTAAGAATTAAAAATTAATTATAAAATGTTAATTTGAGAAAGAATGAAAAATACCATGCCAAGTAGGTAGGCAACCTCTGCCAACTTGTGCTGCGGGGTGCAGGAACATCGATTTTCAATCATCATTTGTTAATATTTTGGATTGTTAAAAATGCTATTTGCATTGGTCTTGTTTGACACAGAATTAAATGATCTTCCAAATAAAAAAAGATTTTACCTTTTATCTTAATTCCTTCAGATGTCATTAATTGTTTAAATAATTAGTATTATTAATTATTAATTTAACGTCCGTTCATCCGCAATGGTTGATATTGATATTTTTATTAATTTTAATTAATTAATTAATATCTGGAAATCAAAAAATAATGCCATCTCAAAAATTTAACTATCGATTTAATGTGACTTAAACAATATTCATGATTTTTTCGCGCTTCAAAAAGAGAGAGAACATGTTTAAACAAGTTGTAAATTCAGATGCTCATTACATGAACATTTTGCTTCCTCTTTACGATCAGCAAAAAAATTTGCTTCCTCGTGGAGAAAGCATTAACATTGAAATAAACATACAAAAATAATATAATAATATAAACATTTGAGTTAAATTTAAAGAATTAATGGAAGTTAAAAGATCAAAAATTCACATTTTAGCCGAAATTTCTAAATACTAATGAAAAATAAAATATAATTTATAATTATTTACAATTATATCGATTCGTTTTAATGCAAGGAACGCAATTATTTTATATTTAAACTTGAATTTAAATAAATACAAAATTTTTCAGTTAAAATGTGAATTTTTTATTTTTTAACTTTCATTAATTTGTTAAATTTACTTCAAATGTAAACTGTATAAATACCAATCGATTCGTTTTCATGCAAGGAATACAATTATTTCATCTATAAACTTAAATTTAAATAATCACAAAATTTTGTAGCCAAAATGTGAATTTTTGATTTTTTAACTTTCTTTAATTTTTTAAATTTAAATTAAAACTATACTTTATATATACCGATCGATTTGTCTTGACGTGAGGAATACGATTTTATTACCTATATATAACCTTAAATTTTTCTATTTAAAATTTTTTTCGATTAAAAAAAAATTTTTGGAAAAAAGACGATAAAATTTTTTTTTGGGTATTTTTTAAAATCCTTTGGTCAGTTTTGAAATATTAATATGATAAATAAACCTACCAAATTTTATCTAAATCCATTAAAACCTGTTAAAGTTATCTTCTAAACAAAAAAGGGATCCACACACACACACACACATACATCCGGACAATTGATCAGGATCTCATATAACATGTTTCTGTATTAGAGAAAAATTTGTTTTCGCCGGGCAGACCACTTTTCGCCGCCAACTCATCCCCATGTACCTGCTCAGCGGCAAATTTTCGTCCCCGTATGTTCCCCCACTACCGGCCGTACTGTACCCCTCCGTTCAGTTCATTTTGGGTAACAATTGAATTTTATTTGATTTTAAATTGAAAATTTTTGAAAATAATTGAATTTTCTTTGATTTTGAATTGAAATTTTGGATAATAATTAAATTTTAATTGAAATTTTGGGTAATAATTAAATTTTAGTTTATTTTGAATTGGAATTTTTGAAAACAATTTAATTTTATTGCGATATTTTTTTAAAATTATAAACAATTGTTAAATTTTATAAAAATTTTATTTGAAAAATAATTTTGAAATAATTGAATTTGTGATGAATTTCATTAAAATTATAAAAAATAATTGGGTCATTCCATTTTATTTCACTTATAGTCGTTGCAGCCTATTTTTAGAAAAATTTGATATTTCGTATTAATGACTTTGAATATCCGTACAATTATTTTATGAAATTTTTTTTTATTTACGTTGAAATTTAGTTTTTAAGTTGAGTTGAACGGAAAATAGGTAAGTTTGACAGCTTTGGAAATTTTATAAAAAAGAACAGAAATAATTCAATTAGTAAATTTTTTTTCATTGATATGTGTTTAAAATAGTCTAATTTACCAATGTTAATTGATAATTGTGTAAAAAAGGTCAAAATACTACGTGAAAATTAATATTCAAACTTACCTGTAAAATGTCAAAATTTGTCACATTTTATTTATATTTTCCAAGAAAGTTTATAAATATTATAAAATTTATTATTACCTAACAATAAGTACTTTCCATGTACTTTCACATGATAAGTTGGCTTTTTATTTTTATAATATAGAAATATGTGAAATTTTACCTTGAATATTGAACTTTTCAGGATTTTATCATATTTTGAACACTTATATCTTCGCAGGCGATTAATGAAAAAATCCCATTTTGGTATTAAAATTTAAGTTAAGTTTTCTTTATTTATCTTATCAAAATTTAGTGATGGAGAACCGAGGAGAACGAGCTATTTTTTATTTTTATTCACTTTAAAAAATTCACCGCAAAATACGAATTTGAAGGTTAAAAAACAAGTAATTTTATAAAACTGAAGTTGGTTTTCTCAATATTGATTTATTTGTATGAATTTTATTTATAAAAATACTTGTTTTTTAACCTTCAAATTCGTATTTTGCGGTGAATTTTTTAAAGTGAATAAAAATAAAAAATAGCTCGTTCTCCATCACTAAATTTTGATAAGATAAATAAAGAAAACTTAACTTAAATTTTAATACCAAAATGGGATTTTTTCATTAATCGCCTGCGAAGATATAAGTGTTCAAAATTTTATAATATTTATAAACTTTCTTGGAAAATATAAATAAAATGTGACAAATTTTGACATTTTACAGGTAAGTTTGAATATTAATTTTCACGTAGTATTTTGACCTTTTTTACACAATTATCAATTAACATTGGTAAATTAGACTATTTTAAACACATATCAATGAAAAAAAATTTACTAATTGAATTATTTCTGTTCTTTTTTATAAAATTTCCAAAGCTGTCAAACTAACCTATTTTCCGTTCAACTCAACTTAAAAACTAAATTTCAACGTAAATAAAAAAAAATTTCATAAAATAATTGTACGGATATTCAAAGTCATTAATACGAAATATCAAATTTTTCTAAAAATAGGCTGCAACGACTATAAGTGAAATAAAATGGAATGACCCAATTATTTTTTATAATTTTAATGAAATTCATCACAAATTCAATTATTTCAAAATTATTTTTCAAATAAAATTTTTATAAAATTTAAGAATTGTTTATAATTTTAAAAAAATATCGCAATAAAATTAAATTATTTTCAAAAATTCCAATTCAAAATAAACTAAAATTTAATTATTACCCAAAATTTCAATTCAAAATCAAAGAAAATTCAATTATTTTCAAAAATTTTCAATTTAAAATCAAATAAAATTCAATTGTTACCCAAAATGAACTGAACGGAGGGGTACAGTACGGCCGGTAGTGGGGGAACATACGGGGACGAAAATTTGCCGCTGAGCAGGTACACGGGGATGAGTTGGCGGCGAATCGTGAATCGCCCGTTTTCGCCACTTTGAAACTTTTTATAAACGAAAGGACTACAAAGCTTCCTCCATGAGGAAGCAAAATTCTTAAAAAATTCTTTAAATAAATTATTAAATTAAATAAATTGTTTATAAAAAATTACGATTTTTTATAAACAAATTAAATTTTTTAAAATTTCGGCGCTATTTAAAAATTTATTTTTTTATTTTTATACACATGAAAATAATAAGAAAATTTTGTAATAAGTTTTGGAGTGGGCCTGATGATCCTTTTGTTTATAAAATTTAAAAAAAAAAAAATTTTTTTTTTTCGAAATGAA